TTTTCTCTTTCTTTCTCCTATAAATAAGCCAGTGCGTGTCAAGCTTCTAACTTGAACCCGTGCTGCTGTACCCGAACCGAACACAAACAAAAGAACTTCAGCCGGTCAAAAGGGACAGGTATAGGAAGAGCTTGGGCATTTTGGATTGTGTCACTCCCAGGTTACAGATCCGTTGGGCCACCCTCCAGCCTCCCCAGGTTGCCCGCTGCGAAGGGATTTCTGTATCCTAGCAGCTAAAATCTGAGGCGTAATAAGCTCTTCCTATAAACTCGGGGCGTCTGAGAGCCTGTTGGCTGCCCTCTGCGATGGGACCCCGGTCCTAGCAGTAAAGTCACAGACGTTAAACTATTTTCGGGGCGCCCTCCAGCCTCCTAGGCTGTCCACTGCAATGAGACTTTGTGTCTCAGCAGTTGAAGACTTGGGTGTAACAGACACGCACACACTACCCTGACCATTTCGGCTGACAGAATGAGGTGTGCAGACGGGGTTATATGATGACGCCTATGTGAAATGTGCGTGGTACTGTACAGATCTGTGCTACAGGCAGAGCTGGCCCAAGGTACAGGCGAGGTGGGCTACCGTCCGGGGTGCCCCATTGTAGGGGGTACAGCATGGGGCTGCCAGGCTGGGTGGGAATGGCACCGCGCATGATCCACGTGCCTGGGGCGGGGCCACACACGCGCTGGGTGACCAGGGTGGGCCCGCGCACGCGTTGCACTCCCGGGGGCGGCACTGCGCTCCTGGAGCCCAGGGCGTCCGAATGGCTCGGGCCAGCCCTGGCCACAGAGGACTGTGTGGTCAATTGGCTCCGGATAGAGCTGTTGCTTTCCCCAGCCACACTGCCCGTGCTGCACTGGCTTTGCTCACATTCCCTGTGTGCAGAGCAGTGTCACCAGCTTGGGGCCTACCCTGTCCGGGGGCGGGGCAAAGAGGGCACATGAGGTTAAAGCTCTCATTAAAGTTGCTAATCACCAATTGTACTCAACCAGAGGGAATTTAAACAATTTAAGTAAACTCATCCCTGGCCAGGGCTTTTCTGTTGGCAAACCAATGCACTGAGCTGCACAGCCAGGGCTCTTGGTTGAACATTGCACTGACACACACTCACAGGGGCAGGCGCATGTGGGAGTGGGTTTCGTCCCTGGGGCAGGTGCGTGCAGGGGTTTCCCCGCACCACAGGGGGCGGAGGGGATTGGCCCAAGGGCTGGCGTGGGTGGGGAGGGGGTCGGCCCCAGGGCAGGCGCGCGCAGGGGTTTCCCTCGCTGCAGGCTTTTCTGTTGGCAAACCAATGCACTGAGCTGCACAGCCAGGGCTCTTGGTTGAACATTGCACTGACACACACTCACAGGGGCAGGCGCATGTGGGAGTGGGTTTCGTCCCTGGGGCAGGTGCGTGCAGGGGTTTCCCCGCACCACAGGGGGCGGAGGGGATTGGCCCAAGGGCTGGCGTGGGTGGGGAGGGGGTCGGCCCCAGGGCAGGCGCGCGCAGGGGTTTCCCTCGCTGCAGGAGGGGGAGTCGTCCCCGGAGGAGGTGCACTGGTTTCCCTCGTAGGAGGTTCTGGGGGCAGTGCTGGGAGGAGGCGGGTGCAGGAGACTCCCTGCCCCCACTGGCACCCCACCACCCAAGCCTCCTCTTCCCACTCCCCACCCACAGTACTCTGTCCCCAGTGGCACCCTGTCCCCAGCTGCAGAACCCTGTCCTCTCCCGTCCCGGCACCCTGTTCCCTCTCCCCTTCCCTCAGCTACAGAACTCAGTCCCCACTGGCACCTTGTCCCCTGTCAAAGCACCCACTAGCACCCTTCCCCCTCACTTGTGTGGCCCCAACTGACTTTTCTGTGGGTCAGTGATCCCTGACTCAAAAAAGGTTCCCTGTCTTTCTCGCCCTTCTCATAAATAAAGACAATGCAGAAACTTTTTGTGTTTGACATAGTATTTTATTTAAAAATGAAGCCTGACCAACAAACCCCCAATTGGGGCCAAGCCCCCATCTGGCCACAGCATCATAACCCTCCTGCACTCCACTTTCCCCCAGACCCTACATCTGAGCCTATCGTACACTGGAACCCCCTGCCCTGAGCCCCTCACGTATCCCAACCCAAATTCCTGAATCCTCACATCTAGAAGTCTGTGGCTTGCTTAGTACCCTAACCCTACATCTGACCCCAACACTACCCAGCCTGGAGACCCCTCCTCAAGCCAGCGTCCCCTTATCCACCTCCTCCTGCATCCAGGTTTCCTCCCAGAGCTTGCACCTCACCCCTTCTCACACCTAAATCCCTCATTCGCACTCCAGAGCCTACACATCCTGTGTCAACCCAGCGAGGGTACGGCTAGACTGCAGGAGTTTTTCAGGATTCCGGAGATATCCCAGAAAAACTCTTCTGCATCCATGAATGCGTTTGTTCTTCTGCTTCTTTTAGTGGAAGAGCAAACATGATCTTTCGGTCACCCCTATATTCCTCTTTTCACGAGGAATAAGGGGGATTCCAAAAGAAGGGGTTTTTCTGACATTTGGTCCAGTCTAGACAGGCCAAATGTTGGAAAAACCTCTTCCTACAGAAAAATTGGGAAAAAAAAGCAGCAGTATAAGAGTTAGGGATAGCAAGTGATGGAGAGGAGGAGAATAGAGGGGGGGGGGCTTCAAAGAAAGGGCAGGGCTGTAGATCTTGGCTTGTTCTGTCATTTAAAAAGTGATCTTGGGTGTAAAAAGGTTGGAGACCACTGTGTTAGAACTTCTGATGCAGATGAAGTAAAGCTGAGCCTGAGCCCCTGTGCTGGGTCCTACAAGCTCTCTGTGCCCAGACCCTCTTCTCACCCTGTGGGCTGAGCCCAACCACACCCCCATGCATGTGTTGGGCCCACACACTGGGGCTGCAAACCTCACTGGGCTCCTGTTCCTTGCAGGCACATCAGCAGCTGGCCAGCACCCTGCTGCAGTCCTGGAGACCTCCCGTCCAGAGTGGCCCCAGTACCCACTGACCTGCACTTGTAGACAAGGGAAGAACATTCAATGAAACAGCAACAAAATGTCTGAGCTGGTTTCCTTGCTGAGCTGCGTGGCACTGCCTTTGAAAGGGCACAGTGTCCCTATGATGACTTCACTGACTAAGCAGCAGTGAGAGAGGAAAAGATTGTTTATAACTGGTACTGCTTGGCTAAAACCTGAGTACTGCTTTTAAGAGTGAGCAACAGGCTGGTATCGGAGCAATGCTGAGAGCTCACTTGAAGACTATGATTAAATTGACTCAGTCAGCCCCACTGGATGCAGGAGTGGGCTGAAGGTGGTGGTGGGGAGGGTGGCCTAATAGGTAAGGGATCAGCTGACTCTCAGGAGGTGGGTCCCAGTGGCCTAATGGATAAGGCATCAACCTCCAGTATCTGGGACTATGAGTTTGAATCCCACCCACCATCTTCCTGCTGGTGGGGAAAGAAAGCCCCCACTAGAATACAGATATGTTGCCTAGAGGGTTTCCTCATTGCCCAAACTGGATGGCTTCCCCTATTTCTCTCAGACACATTCACCAAGACAGCTCCTGCAGACTCCTTCCACACCCAGCAGGGCCACCATGGGCTTCAGAGCAAGGTAGGAAGGAGACCACTCCCCACCCCTGGAAGAGGCAGGGTATGGGCCAGCCTGGTCATGTGGAGGAGCTATGTTGCCTAGAGGGTTTCCTCATTGCCCAAACTGGATGGCTTCCCCTATTTCTCTCAGACACATTCACCAAGACAGCTCCTGCAGACTCCTTCCACACCCAGCAGGGCCACCATGGGCTTCAGAGCAAGGTAGGAAGGAGACCACTCCCCACCCCTGGAAGAGGCAGGGTATGGGCCAGCCTGGTCATGTGGAGGAGCTGGAGTCCAGGCTGCAGCTCCAGCTCTGAGGAAGCTGGTGGTAGCTGCTCTCTGGGTGGGCTGCATGGCAGGTGGCTTGCTCTGTGTGATGGAGCTGTGGCCAACAAGGCCACAATCAGGCAGTAGACTGTCTCAGGACCTGCAGTGCAGCCCCCATTCTGGCACACACGCTGAGCCACTCATACACTCCACATCCCTGACTGACAGACAGCCTGAATGTGTGCATGAAACTGGATTTGACCACTTATGAAGCAAACTTCAAGGAAATATGCAGAAAGATGCAGGAGTCCCCTTAAATAAAGTCTGTGAGTACAGTGTTTCATTTATGCTATTACTAATCATTATGTCAATTATCAATAATATTAAGTTGTATATTTTCAGTCATGCAAATGGGCATTCTTATGTGTCAACCACTTGTTCTGAATTTTGATGTAGTTTGGCTCTTTGGTTTGATAAGGTTGCCAACCCCTGTGCTGAGGGGTGTGAACTTTTTCACATCCCTGACTGACATAGGTAGCTTCAGAGGGGTGGCCAAATTAGTCTGTAACATCCCTGACTGACATAGGTAGCTTCAGAAGGGTGGCCAAATTAGTCTGTAACAGGAAAACCTTAAAAAAACCCAAATAGTTTAGTTAGTCTTTAAAGTGCTACTAGACTATTTGTTGTTTTTAACGTTTGACATATGTAGGTCAATCCACATTTTTAGTGTACACTAGCAACAGGGGGGCAAGTGGTTCTGGCTGTAATCACCATGTTGGGGTATATACTTGCATGTGAGGGAAGATAGAACATACAGTAATTGAGAACAGAGAGAGGGGCAAAAGAAAAAAATCCAACAAGAAAGCCAAGTAATAGTCAGTGAACACACTGGAATCTCAGCAGAAGTATGAGAGCTTCTGGGTCTGATGCTTTAAAGAAGCTTTAGGTTGTAAGCTAAAAACGGCTCCTTTTGTTCCACTCCTCCCTAACTACCTGCCTCAGGCCATGGCCCAAACCCTCTCTTTGCCATCTCCCCACCTCCTCCAGGTTATGACTCTCTCCCAGACACGCCCTCCTATACCCCTCCCCTGGCCAGAATCCTTTCCTGCAGTCAATACCCCTCCTGGACCCTGCATCCCAAGTCCCTACCCCAGATCATAACCTCCTCCTTCACCAAAACTCCCTCTCAGACCCCACACTCCCTCCTGCACCCCAGTCCTCTATCCCAAGCTCCCTTCTATACTCCACCTGCAATCCCAGACCCTGTGGCTCCCCCGCCTTAAAAATTATTGTCCACCCCTGCTGTAGAGAATAGAAATGACAATATGGCACTCTCTACCTTCCCTGACACAGCCAGTCAAATATAGCAGACCAGTTAGGAACACGATAAAACGGACAACAGGTATGCAAAGCACCACCCTGGGCACAAAATAGTGAAGATAAACATCGAGAACTTGAGCAGGAATAGAGAAGAAAGGGATTACTGGCAAAGAGAAAATACAGTAACTTTTAGGTGAGGAGAGAGTCTGATAATCAAGGATGGGTACACATACTTTTTGTATCAGTTTAACTATATTAGTTTAAATATAGCTGCTAGGCACCTTTTTATCAATATATAAATGTTCAATCTATTGGGCTGCTCTGCTGATTTAAAGCTTGGTCTACACACAGTCCAACAGTCCAACATTTGGGAAAATGAAGGGCTTATGCCAGCTGATCTTCTGCCAGTTTATGATGATTCAGCACTAGTCAGCTTTGCCAGCATAGCTATACAGCAGTGGTCTCCAACCTTTTTAAGCATGAGATCACTTTTTAAATTTAAGTGCAATCCAAGATCTACTTCAAATCCAGATACCTTTGCCCCGCCTCCTTTGTGACCCTTCCCCGAGACCCCTCCCCTGCTCACTCCAATCTCCCTTCTTCCCCCATCCTCCCTTCCTTTTACCAGGCAGGGGCAGCGAGTTGGGGTGCTAGCTCTGGTCTTGGATTAAGGGATTTGGAGTGTGAGAGAGGCTCTGACCTGACCTTGGGGCAGACAGTTGGGATGTAGGAGGGGGTTCTAGGTGCAGGCAGTGCAGGGAGGGGCAGCTGAAGTGCTGGCACTTGGTAGCCTCTTGGCCAAACCAGTCAAGATCCCCTGTCAGAGGCTCCAAGATCTACCAGTAGATCCCGATCTACTGGTTGGTGACCACTGCTATACAGGCTAAGGTTCTGTAATGTAAACCTGGCATTAGTGTGATTATTTCTCCTCCCTTCCCCCAATACTTTTATTACTAACAAATCCTTAGTGTAGATGTAGTTACTTATACCAGCATGAAAGCTGTTTTGACAATACAATTTATTTTGCTTGCCAAAAACAGTCCTTGCTATATCAGCAAAAGCACATTTTTGCTGGCAAACTAGGCCTACACAAGGAGGGTTTGCAGATGCAGGTATGCCAGCAAATGCTTTTTAGTATATAACTGGCTTTATGCTGATATAATTATACTATTACAAGTATCAGAGGGGTAGCCATGTTAGTCTGAATCTTCATAAACAACGAGAAGTCCTGTGGCACCTTATAGACGAACAGATTTATTGCAGCATAAATTTTTGTGGGCAAAGACCCACTTTGTCAGATTCCAGAGGCAGGTATAAATATACAGGCACATGAAAAGAAAGGAGTACCAATCAAGAGGACGGACAGAGGTAACGAGGTCAGTTCAGTCAGGGAGGATGTGGCCCACTTTTAGCAGCTGATATGGAGGTGTGAACACCAACAGAGAAGAAACTGCTTTTGTAGTTGGCTGGGCATTCACAGTCTGGCTACGTCTACACTGGCATGATTTTCCGGAAATGCTTTTAACGGAAAAGTTTTCCGTTAAAAGCATTTTCGGAAAAGAGCATCTAGATTGGCACGGACACTTTCCCGCAAAAGCACGTTTTGCAGAAAAGCGTCCGTGCCAATCCAGATGCGCTTTTGCGCAAAAAAGCCCCGATCGCCATTTTAGCCATCGGGGCTTTTTTGCGCAAAACAGTAGTGTGCTGTCTACACTGGCCCTCTTGTGCAAAAGCCTTTCGGAAAAAGACTTTTGCCCGAACGGGAGCAGCATAGTATTTCCGCAAGAACACTGACGATCTTACATGAGATCGTCAGCGTTCTTGCGGAAATTCAAGCGGCCAGTGTAGACAGCTGGCAAGTTTTTCCGCAAAAGCAAATGATTTGGCGGAAAAACTTGCCAGTCTAGACACAACGTCTTTGTTTAATTCTAAATTGGTAGTGTCAAATTTGCAAATGAATTGTAGCGCTGCAGTTTCTCTTTGAAGTCTGTTTCTGAAGTTTTTTTCTCACAGGCTGGCTACTTTTAAATCTGCTACTGTGTGCCCAAGGAAATGTAAGTATTCTCATTAAGTTTTTGTATGTTACCATTCCTGATATCTGATTTGTGTCCATTTATTCTTTTACATAGGGACTGTCCAGTTTGGCCAATGTATATGGCAGAGGGGCACTGTTGGCACATGATGGCATATATTACATTGATAGATGTCTAGGTGAATGAGCCAGTGTTGGTGTGGCTGATGTGGTTAGGTTCTTTGATGGTGTCGCTGGTGTAGATATGTGGACAGAGTTGGCACCGAGGATTGTTGCAGAGATTGGTTCCTGAGTTGGAGTTACTATGGTGTGGTGTATACTTGTTGGTGAGAATTTGCTTCAGGTTGGCGGGCTGTCTGTAGGCGAGGACTAGCCTGCCTCCCAAGGTCTATGAGAGTGAGGGATCATTATCCAGCATGGATTGTAGATCACTAATGATGCATTGGAGAGGTTTTAGCTGGAGACTGTAGGTGATGGCCAGTGGTGTTCTGTTATTTTCTTTGTTGGGCCTGTCTTATAGCAGGAGGCTTCTGGGTACACGTCTGGCTCTGTCCATCTGTTTCCTCACTTCCTTGGGTGCGTATTGTAGTTTTAAGAATGCTTGGTGAAGATCTTGTAGGTGTTTGTCTCTGTCTGAGGAGTTGGAGCAAATGCAGTTGTACCTTAGTGCTTCACTGTAGACAATGGATTGTGTGGTGTGTCCGGGATGGAAGCTGGAGGCATGTAGGTAAGCATAGCAGTCAGTACGTTTTTGGTATACGGTGGTGTTTATGTGACCATTCATACTGTAGTGTCCAGGAAGTGGATCTCTTGTGTAGACTGGTCCAGGCTGAGGCTGATAGTGGGGTGAAAACTGTCATATGTAGTTTGCATTTTAAATTTGTGCAACTCCACATTTAGACAGGTTCTTAATATGCAAATAATGCCACAGAGAGGTTGACATTGGAAGATTAAAATAGTAATTGGAGTAAGAACTAGAAAATGCATTTCAGAACAAAATGTAAATTTAAGATAACTTTCTCATTGCTTAACAAAATCCCCCCCCAATAAAAAAGGAAAAAAATATTTTAATGTAAGATGATAAAATATTACACTGGTGACCATAGTTTAAATACCACAAGCTCTAAGGGAAAAGAGAGAAAAAACTTGATGAGTAATTTGGAAGCTTCATGAGCAGATATTATCTGAGATTACAAATGTTACAAAAGAAATAAAGTTAGAACACTTTCTATTAGCTAAAACTTACCAAACTAGACTTGTTTCAAGGTAAATCCTTATTACAAGTTCTCAGCAACATTGTTAACTAAGCTCTCAGATCAGCAACCACCTCAGAATCAAAGGGCTGGTTCCTTTTTCTTCTTAGATGAAATGGAGCAAGGGAACACCTGGGGGATTTTACCCCTTCCTTTTGTACTCTGATCATCTTTTCTATTAGCTAAAACTTACCAAACTAGACTTGTTTCAAGGTAAATCCTTATTACAAGTTCTCAGCAACATTGTTAACTAAGCTCTCAGATCAGCAACCACCTCAGAATCAAAGGGCTGGTTCCTTTTTCTTCTTAGATGAAATGGAGCAAGGGAACACCTGGGGGATTTTACCCCTTCCTTTTGTACTCTGATCATCTTTC